AACTCTGATCGTTATGATTTAACAAGAGTGAGTGAGGCCACAAGTTGGAGCCCAATCTGGGTTATCAAGTAAGACTCTGTCTGGAAAAACAAAAGCCACAAAAAAAAAAAAAAAGCGAGAATTACCATTTCCCAGCATTGCCAGCTGTTACTAATAGTTTGTTCTAGATAATATATTTTTAAAATTCTATACAGGTTTTCATTTTAATTTCACTAATTTTTGCTTATTGCGGAATCTATAATTGAGGGCAGAATTTCATAGTAATCTGTTTTATAGGCAGCATACTGCATTTACAATAACATAGTTTGACTGCTGGAGAGATGGCTTAGTGGTTAAGAGCACCAGCTGCTCTTGTAGAGGACCTAGATTCAGGTCCCAGCACCCACTCCGCATCCTAACAGCCAACCCTAAACTAACTCCAGTTCCAGGGGGAATCTGACACCCTCTTCTGGCCTCCATGGGTATTGCTCACACAGTAGTGTAGGCAGAACACTCATACATATAAAATATAATCATTAAAATACATAAAAGTTTGAATGCATTTCAAAACTCTTGTTATAAGTCACTTTCAATAAGTTTACGTCTGTAGCTGGAAAGCCATATGAAAGTTATCTGAAGTTATTTTGAAGATTGATTGCTGAGAAAATGTTTTATGTCTTCAGTTTTCTCATTATCCCCCTTAATGTTTTTATGTATATTGTAACCAGATTTTGGAAGTTTCCTTGTCAGGAAATTGAAAGGTCAGAGTTGATATTGTTTTTAATTCTTCTTGTCCACATGTGAAAATTTCCTAATAAGATTTGTTCTCAAATGACACATAGCCCAAAGCAGGAGTTAAAAATTACCAGTTCTGAAAACTTAAGTTTAGTGATGTGAATACGAATATAAAACAACCCTGTTTTATATATAAGAAAACTTAGATGTAGGGAAATCCTGTAGCTTATACTAAAATTACATAATAATTGGCAAAAGTAGAATCTGTACTGGCTAGCCTAAACCTCTCTTCTAGCTTTGTAAATTATGACCAATTAAAAAAAAGCAAAACAGCTAGCTAGTCTTGGCATTGTCCCCTGAATTCGCCCATCTCCCCTTCCTCTTCTAGTCTCCTTTATTGCTTCAGTAAAAGGCAGGACAGAGAACTGTCGGATTGAATGTAATTTCCTTGTCATTGAAATTACTGTTTTACATAGAGACTTTAAATTCATAACTAATTGAAAATAATATGTAGGGTCTCTTGGGACTACAATGAATTAGCTATCTTAAAACCCAGGGAAATCAAACTTTATAAATTACCCTGTTGGTTTAATAATACACAGATAAGATTTGTTGCTGTTTTCAAAGAGAACTAGAAGCTCTAGAGATTTTGACAGTATCATTCATATAATTGTATGTGCACATGCATTTGTAAGAAATAAGAGATCCTGTGTGTTCTTCTCAGGTTGCCTGTTACCATCTTACATAGCTGTAGAACTATCTACACACGTGTGTCTGTGTGTGTGTGTGTGTATCATCCAGTTGGTTTAAATAGTGATTTCATGATGTTTGAACATCAATTCGGTCAGAAGTAAAATAATTTTAAGATGCAAAGTTTAAAGAGTGGGATGTTTAAGGGAGCAGCAGGTCAAAAAAGAGGGGAACTTCTTGCCTCTTAAAATCTTGTATAACTTTATAGATTGTCTTGAAACTTGATACAATCTTAGTTACAATTATTATTTTAATTTTGTTGCCAGTAATAAGAAGAGCACTGAAAACTCCCCTAAATTTCAGGGGGAAAAATGTTTGGTATTTACAAACCCCCCTTAATTTCAGATAAGATTATTTATTGCTGCTTTCAAAGAGCTAAAAACACTAGAGATTTTGACAGTTTTGTTCATATAATTGTATATGCACATGCATTTATAAGAGACCCTGTGTTTTCTTCACAGGTTGCCTGTGTTACCATCTTACATAGAGAACAGCAATTATCACTTATGTAAGGATATTGGCATAGACACAGTCTAATATTTTACTCAGATTTTGTCTTTTCCCTGTACTTACTAATTTGTGCGGGGATGTGTTTAGCTATTTTGAATTTTATCACATGTAGATTTGTGTACTCACCATTACAGGAAGGCTGTCACAGTCCTTCATGTTGACTGTTGTGGCCACTCATGTCTGTAATCCCAGCTACTGAGGAGGCTAAGACAGGAAGATCCCAAGTTCAAGGTGTGCCTAGCTAATAGCAAATTCAAAGCCAGCAACTTAGCAAGATCATCTCTCAAAATTAAAAAAAAAGAAAAAAAAGCTTTCAAGACAGTAATCCCACATGTCACTCCTCTATAGCATTTCTTTCCCTCCTTTCTAAACCTTTGTCATTTCAAAGTATGATGCATATAGAAGCATATAATTTGTAACTTTCTGAGATTTAAAATTTTTTTATTGAGAGTTTCATGCAGTGTATTTTGCTCATATTCAACCCCATTCCCATCCCATCTCTCAGGTCTATCCCCACCTCTCCATTCCACCCAAGTTTGTGACTGACTTTTTTAATTAAACTTTTGTGAATTTCATGTAATATATTTTGATCATATTTAGATCCCCTCTGCTATCTGCACTCCTTACTACCCTCCATCCAGTTTCATGTACTCTATTATATATGTGTGTATATGTATATTGTGTATGTATATATGTATATATACATATATGTGTATGTGTGTATGCTTATAGAGTCAGATTTATGTCTTCAAATGGCCTTCACTCTGGGTACCATCCATTGGAGCCTGGTCAACCAGTCCTATAGCGCCAGCTGGCCTGGAACTCATATAAACCAGGCTGGCCCTTGATCTCACAGAGATCTGCCTTCTGCTTCCTGAGTTCTGGGACTAAAGGTGTCTCTAGCAAGATTGGCTTTTTAAGCTCAGAGTAATTTCCCAGATACCTTCAACTTGTTTCCTCTGTCATTCATTTCTTTTTATTGTTGAGTAATGTTTTATGATGTAGCTAGATATTGATGAACATCTGGGCTCAGTTAGGGGCTGTTAGGAAGACACCTGCTATGAAAACTCATATAAAGAAAATTTCATTTCTTTGGGAGAAATGCCCAAGTACTCAGGTTTTAAGTCAAAAAATAAAAAAAATCTTTTTTTTTTTTTTAAATTTAAAGTGTCAAAAATATTTACTTAAGGGCTACTCACAAATACTCTTCTTAGTCTTTTATTTGACACCAGTACACCCAGCCTATTTTAAATTAAATTATGTCCTTTTTTTTTTTGAGACTGGGTCTAACTCTGTAGCACTGGCTGACTTGGAATGCATTATGTGTAGTCAGGCTGGCCTCTAACTCTGCATGTGCCTCTGCCTCTAAAATGCACCACAATGCCCAAGTTTGTGTTTGAATTGTTGATCGTTTTCTACCTTTAAGGTTTTTGGTTTGGTTTTTTTTTTTTTTTTTTTTTTTGGTCTTTTTGAGGCAAGGGCTCCCTGTAACCCCACCTGGCCTGGAACTCTGCCTGCTTCTGCCTCCCAAGTGCTGGGATTAAAGAAAGGTATGTGCCACCGTGCCCGGCATCCCATATTGGTTTTTGGATTTTGGTTTTTGGGTTTTTTTTTTTTTTGGTCTTTTTGAGACAGGGTCTCCCTGTAGCCCCAGCTGTCCTGGAACTCACTATGTAGACCAGGCTGGCCTTGAGCTCTGCCTGCCTCTGCCTCCCGAGTACTGGGATTAAAGGTGTGTGCCACCTCTCCTGGCTTCATATTGGCTTTTAAAACAATCATATACTGTTGAAACATTCTCTGAACCATCTCTTCAGCACAAAACATCTTTTTAATTATCTTTTAAGTATTTTATATTTATTTTTTTTTTGTGTATGAGTATATTGCCTACATGTGTGTAAGGGCACCAATGTCATGCAGTGCCCATGGAGTTCAGAAGAGGGCGTTGGATCCCCTGGAACTGGAGTTACAGACAGTTGTTAGCCATTATGTGAGTGCTGGGAATCGAACCCAGGTCCTCTGCAAGAACAGTGAGTGCTCTTAACTACTGAGACATCTCTCCAGCCCCGCCCCCCAATCCTTAATTGAAGGATTCTAATTTGTGTACTTTTTGCTAGGAGTTTGGCCCCAACAACTGTTTTATCATGCAGATTAGAAACAAAAATGTGAAAATTTATGCTTATAAGATGTCACAAAATTAATTGTTATAATATGCCATTAATTAAAAGGTATAGCTGATTTGTATGCATTACATCTTTAGTTAATTGTTTTCATTCTTTTTCTTTTTTGGTGTAAGCAGTGAGAACCAAGTCTGTATGCATGCTAGGCAAGTGCTGTACCACCAAGCCACAGCCCCTGCACCATCCACTTTCTTTTAACTTTTCTGACTTTAAAAAGTGACAAAAAAAAAAATTGTAGGAAATCAGAGCTATATAAAGAAATAAATTACAAGCTCAATGCCAGGCAAACTACCATGAAAGATCTTTGGTGCATTGCCTCCTAGATTGTTCTATGTATGTACAATATGTGTGTGTGTGTGTGTGTGTGTGTGTGTGTGTGTGTGTGTGTGTTTAAGGTAAGATTAGGCTAAAGACAGTGTTGTGTCCTGTTTAAGAGGTTAACTTGAGGGCTGGCAAGATGCCTCAGTGGGTAAAGGCCCTTGCCACTAAGCCTGACAACCTGAGTTCCATCCTCAAGACCAACATAGTGGAGGAAGAGAACCAACCTCCAAAAGTTGTCCTCTGACCCCAACATGCATGCCATGGTACATGTGTGTACACAAAATGAATAAATGTAGTTTTAAAAAAATTTAATTTAAAATTTGAAAGAACTCAGCTTTTGGAATATTTTTTAAGGTATTTGTGTCATTTTTCCTCTTATTTTCATGTGAGATTGTGTTAGGGTTTATGACTCTGTTAAACATATGGAAATTGTTTTTTCAAAGTAACATTTTAGTTGGATACTACTTTTTGTCTACTGAGTAGCTCTGTTTTGTTTCTCATTTAAAATCATTTTTCTTATTCTTCAAGCTATGCTGTGATAGCATTTGGATGTGCCAGCTGTCCAAAATTAACTTGTGGGCGAGAAGGCTGTGGAACAGAGTTTTGCTACCACTGTAAACAGATCTGGCATCCAAACCAGACCTGTGATGCTGCTCGACAGGAGAGAGCCCAGAGTTTACGATTAAGGACTATACGTTCTTCATCCATCAGTTACAGCCAAGAGTCTGGAGCAGCAGGTATTGATGTCTGTCTGGTTATTTATTTACTTACTTATGCACGTGTACTATGTATGTATGTGCTGTGTTTGTGTGTAAATGAAGGCACATGTGTGGAGGTCGGAGGACAACCTCAAGTGTTGGTCCTCCCCTTCTCCTTTTATGAAAATGGGTCTCTTGTTTTTTTTCTGCTATATATATCAGGCCTGCTGGTCAGTGAGTTCCCAAGAGTTCTGTCTCCTCTGCCTGCCTCACCATTGGAGCACTGGGATTACAGATGTGCACTGCCATGTCTGGCTTTACCAGGGTTCTGGGTATTGAAATGCAGACCCATCATCCTTGCACAACGAATGCTTTACCCACTGTGCCATCCCCTAGCCCATGTCTGATTTTCAGAAAATAAGGTATTTGATACATATAGAATGCCTGATGGTTTTAACTTTAAAAGTATTCAATTACCATTGTTACCTATTTTCCTGTCACTGTTAAAAAGTGTTTAAAAGTGTTAAAAGCACTGTTAAAAAGTGCTTCTCTGTCCCAGGAGCACTCATTCTTGGCATATTTCTGTGAGATAAATACAGAAAGTGGAAGAAAGTGGTTCTGAGATTGGAAAATTTTATTGTCAACAACAACAAAAGGAAATGTCATGACTGTTTATGTAATAGCCAGAGATGGCCTCATAAATACATAATTATTTTTATGTCACAAAATTAAATATTTAGAACAGTATTTATTATTAGAATCCTTTTCATTTAAATATTTGTGAAAAATTTTTTTAAATTCACAGGTATATATCTAATCTAGGAATAAGGACATACAAATCATACCGTAGTTAGGAGGACATAAAGAATGTTAAGGTATCTTTGGGTAAGAACTTAAAAATTACTTAGGGGTCTTTGTAAACATCTCATAAATCTCAAAGGTTAAAAAACAACCTCTCCCCCAAAATCAGTGTTTCATATTAACAGAATTTTCTTTGTTCGTTGGAAGTTTAATCCTTAGAAAAGAATTTTTCCCAATGGTTACAACAGAGACAAACTTGGAAAATACAGAAATTTGTAAAGAAAGTAATATACTTTCTACCAGTAATATGTTGAGATTACCATATACTCTTTGTTGCTAGAGAGAAGGTCTGACTATATGGATTTAATACTTTATAATATGCATGGGTTTTCATTCTTTGCTTACTGGCTTGTTTTCATTTCCTCTCCTAAAGATTTGGGTAGAATGCAAAGATATTAGTAATAATTTATAGACAGAGTCTAGAAGCAGTTTAGAGAGGACCTTTTTCTAAAGTATCAGTGGTAGCTATTGGGTATTTCCCTTGGAAATCATACTCCTCTGAGTAGGGGTAGGTTTTTATTGGTTATAGGGCTCGCAGACATAGGGTAAGAGACTACACTCCAGAACCAGACTGGCTAGATTTAAATTCCAGATTCTCCTCTTACTATTTGTATGACCCTGAGCAGTCTACTTGCCTCATCTTTAAAGTGAAAGTAGTAGCAATGCTTATGCCCATGGTGCTAAAACACTCTGGCTCCTAAGTGGGAGAACAGACCACAGTCATTTACTGGAGAGTTGAACTTGTTTGGCCCATCATTAAATAAAGACAGAAGATGGAAATGGCTTTTGCTATTTTTTTTAACTGAACATTACAAATTAGTTATCTAAATGTTTATCGGACTTCCTCAAAATAGTCACCATGGTAGAGTTTATGTTTATTTCAGTGATTCTACCCTGGAAAGCCTTACTGACATAATTAACAAATTTTGCAAAGATACTATCAGTTTGATTTGACAAACTGGTATCTTTTATATAACCAAAAGTTTCTTTATAGCTAAAACTAATAGCATCACACTAGGTTGAATCAGGGATTTTGGTTTAGGCAAGTGTATGTCCAACCTTTTGACATGTGACAGCATTGTTACCACAACATTCATACTACAAAGCTATGCAATAGAATGACCCTCCATCTCAAAATAAGTTCATGATGTTTTAAATGAGTTTATAATTTTGAGTATGCTGCTTAAGCAGATAGGATTAGTATTTCTTTTTGATGTACTAAATATTGTATTGGGTTTAAAAGCCAGTTTTTTTATCCTGTATATGCTTCTGTATAAAATTTTTAATGCAGATTTTATGTTCTTTGAGCCATTTAAATAACAATTTATGGGTATACTCTAAAATTTTTAAAGATTTTTAAAATAAGGTTGTTTTCAATTGTGTGTGCATGCATGTGAGTGCAGATGCCCTTGGAGACCAGAGACATTGGAGCCCCTGGAGCTGGAGTTAACGCACAGTTGTCACCTGTGCATTACAAAGTCTGGGAATCACTGGGTGCTGGGAATCAAACTTGGATCCTTTGGAAGAACAGCACATGCTCTTGACAAGACTGCTGGGCCATATCTCTAGCCCCATACCTTTAATTTTTATATTCTAGTAATTATTTAACTTTTTCTTTGTCTAGGTTATTAGTTTAATGCTTATAAAGTAATAACCTCAAAGAGATGCTTAAATTTAGTGGTTAGCATTGTAAATATCTTTTCTGAACTACATATAGTTAGAAAACATAGCTAATGGTAATTGTATGGTTATTTCAATAACTGCTGGAGTTCAAAATAGTTGCATAATTCACCTGTCTCCTAAAGCTGTCTACCCTCTTGATCTTTTTTAAAAATAATTTATCGAGAATTTCATACATGCATATAAGGTGTTTTGATCAAATCCATGCCCACCCCCCCAGCTCTTCCCATATCTCCCCATCGCTTTTTTCTGATAACTTCATGTACTCTTTCTTCTTCTTCTCCTCCTCCTCCCCCTCCCCTCTCCCCCTCCCCCTCCTCCAGGCTTCTTGGTACCCTGAAGAGGTAACCCTAAAATCTTTTAAGGATTAGATAATAGCTCTCAAATACTTTTGACATTTTTGGCCTTTGTAACGGAGTATGCTGCTAAGAGGCCCAAGGACATTTTGACCTTTAGCCAAGAAACTGGCTATTTTTCTTTGGGTCCTTTTTACACTAACTGCTTAGCCAATTCCTACCTCCTGTTCTTATCACACCATCCTCTGAAGAGGGTACCCAGCTTGCAAACAGGGAATCGGGACACAGGCAGCTTTGGCTTCTTCCATGCTGAACAGGGATGCAGGGTGGGGCAATTTGGATACCCCTTCAGTGGGTCTATCTAAAAGACTCCCAAATTGCATAACTCTTATCTCTAGGGGAAAGAGAAGGTCCTTGACTGGTGAATAGGAGATGTGAAAAGGGAAGAGTAATTAGCATCACAAGTTCTAGAAATAAGTCAGAACAGGGCAAATTTCAAACGTTCATATCAGAGTCCATTGGAATTTCTTGACGAGAGCTTCCAAAAGCATCCCTCTATTGGATTCCTCCTCATGTTTCTTTTGACTGCCAAGGCTGGACTCCAGAGTGATGGATTCAGGATTTGCTTTCAGGCACTTTGATAGCTGTTGGAATGGCTAGAATCAGTGTCATCCCTCTCAAAGGCTTCAAGATAGGGGGAGAAAACAAATTTAGCTATCATTTTAGAATAGCTGGTTGTCTCCCTTAGCTACAGGTGGGCACTACAGTATTGCAGACCAAGATTGAAGTCTGACATCTGAGCAGCACTTTCTGCTTAGAAACAAAATCATCAATGAGAAATAATTGTCTAAATAACATTTTATATGGACTTAAGCCTGAGAAGTATAAGCCCTTGAACTCTCAAAGAAATATACTGATCACTTTCATCTTTGGTTATACTTTCGTTTTGGGTGTTTAAGACCATACAGTTGGCCCAAATCAATTTATTTTTACTCTTAAGGTCATTTGAGGATCTGTGCCTCTGGGGTCACATGGGCTTGGGAGGTGCCTCTGGCTCCTTTCTTTTCCCAGTTCCATCTACGTGAAGATAAGTCAAAGGTCCTACTCGACCATGGCTGGCTTCACTTGGAAGCATGGAGGAAATGTCTTTGTGTTGACCCTCTTCTTTGTAGACTGGACACTGGTTCAAGTCCATCTGATGGGGGTCTCCATGGCTCCCTGAACAAGAGGACAGGTAACTCACCAGAGTTACAGGACATTTTGAGAGATGCTCCATAGTCCCCTGGAACTTAGTTGACCTTGGAGGGCAAGGGGCAAAAACTGTCTTTTAAGTCCCTCTGACCAGATTAGTATAGGCCTCAAAGTATGGCTGTTAAACATCCAAGAAGGTTGGTTCCACCAGTCTGGTACTTTTAATTACCATGTGCTATGTAGATAAAGCTTGGGTAAAACACCAAATATTCTCAGATAAACCTTGCCTAGATACATATTTTGTTCCTTAAACTAGTTGACTAAACTATGACCTTATAAATTTTAAGATTACGTGTATATTATTTTTGTCTCATCCTTTATATATCATAACAAACCTGCACAAACCTTCATCATTTGCTTATGTCTTCTCATTTTTTCCCACAACAGTTCTCTTAAAACATGCAGCTAAATCATTCAGATCAAGAATTACAAACCCATCACAGCTCTCTGTCGCTGTTGGACATGCTAGCATTAACAAATAAATTTTCCATCTGTTGTGAGACTTCTTTTCCTGGGGATGCTAAGCAATGCTTATTCCTTTTTAAGGTTCTAGTGTCAAATCAGTGTTTGATTAAAGTTTTACTGGGGAACCAGTGAATTTACTGAGCTTACTTACAGAGCTAACTGAGGGGTTGCTGAGGTGTATGAATGACCTGAGGGTATGCACACTGGAAAGCCTTTCCCCAGCATGGGTCAAGCCTTTTCTTCCTAGCCTTCCCTAGGTTGTATACTTTAACTCTCCCCAAATCCAAGAGACCATGATTAGGGCCAAATTACATACAGTGGCTGGATACTCCGGTGACCTCTTAATCTTTATAAGATAGGGTCTCACTATATAGCTCTGATTGGCCTGGAACTCACTATGTAGAACAGGCTGGCCTTGATCTCACAAAAATCCACTTGTTTCTGCCTTCTAAGAGCTGGGATTAAAGGTGTGCACCACTGCAGCCTTCCTACCTCTTGATTTTTAATTGGGTGCTGTTGTGCATTGTAACCACTTTACTATACAAGGAGCTTGCTCCCGCAATACTTGAATAAATGAATAAGTAAATGAACAAAAAGGACAAAGATAACTAATTAAAAGCAGTCATGAGGATAACTAACAATGGTTACTTTTATTCTGAGATGGTTCTCCGTAGTTGCTAGTGTTTTCAGTGGATGTTAGTAGAAGAGAAGGGACCTCTCAGTGTTTGTGTACAGTGCTTCAGATTAATAGCAAGTGGTCACTTCCTAATTTTGTTCCTTCACTAAAGGAATAGCAGATTATCTCCATATGATTTCAATGGAGAGTGTTAGGAAAGTTCTGAAGTAGGAATTGCCACTCAGAAGACAGCTACAGGATCCTAGAGGAAGCTGACTTTTTGTGGTTCACAGTTTGCCTAGGACTGCCCTTTGTCCTCCTTTTTCTTTTTATGCTTTCATTCTTTGTTCCTACTGATTTGCAACTGTGTTTGAAAACTGTTTACAGCTTGAAATTTTAATATAAAGTGTATTTCCTTCAAGGGGAAGAAAAGATGCTTTATATACTAAAAACAATAGGCTAAGATGTCACCTAATAAACTTTATTTATAGGGATTTGTTTTGGAGCTGTTAACTGATAATCTACTGGAAATTATTTTTGCACTACCTTATATCTTATTGTCTGTGTTCCTGATAGCTGATGATATAAAGCCATGTCCACGATGTGCTGCATATATAATAAAAATGAATGATGGGAGTTGCAATCACATGACATGTGCTGTTTGTGGCTGTGAGTTTTGTTGGTTGTGTATGAAAGAAATCTCCGATTTACATTATCTAAGGTAAGCTTATGGAGTGAGCTATTTATGAATGAATACACTTTATGTTGTTAGTCATCAACCTAAGCAGTTTTATTCTTGACATTAATAAGATATTATTAGGTCTTAATTTTCTTAAATGTAAATTTTCTTATTTAGACCACAAAGTGAGTTGATAGTATAATCACATACTTGTCTGCGTAAAATAAGCATGTTTCACGTTAGTTTACTCTTCAGAAATTAAGATTGTAAGGGTCATGGAAAACTAGGGATAAACTTTAAATTGTAATTAGTAGTAACCTGGTCATGTAACTTAGAGTGGATCTTACCTCAATCTATTGGCTTTTTTTAAAAGATGTACTTTTATTTTATTTGTATGAGTGTTTTGCCTCCGTGTATCTATGTACACCATTTGTGTGCTTTGTACCCCCAGAGGCCAGAAGAGGGCATTGAATCCCTTGAAACTGGACTTAACGGGCAGTCGTGAGCCACCATGTGGGTGCTGGGTACTTAACCTTGGTCCTCGGGAAGAACAGCAAGTGCTAACTGCTGAGCCAGCTCTTCATTCCCTCTTTTAGCTTCAAATGAACTTAAAATACAAAGAAAATGGGGGGGGAATCCTTAAGTATGAGACATTCACTCTTAGAGTCATTGCTTTAATATGTTGTGGTTATTTGTTGTAATATTTCCCAACAGTTGTTTTATAATTTTTCCCCTCAGTCCCTCGGGTTGTACTTTTTGGGGGAAGAAACCCTGGAGCCGAAAGAAGAAAATCCTGTGGCAATTGGGAACGCTTGTCGGTGCTCCTGTGGGAATTGCTCTAATAGCAGGCATTGCTATTCCTGCCATGATTATTGGAATTCCTGTGTATGTGGGTCGCAAGGTAAACTTCTTAGTATATGAGCTTTATTCTCAGCTGTTAGGTGTATCTCTTTAATATTGATTATTTCTTTGCTTTGTTTTTGGATAAGACTGTTTTTAGTTTGTTCATTATAATAGTTACTGTTTGTGGCTGGGGCTATAACTGTTGGTAGAGTGCTTGCCTAGCATGTAGGAAGCCCTAGATTTTATTCTCCAGCACCCTATAAACTGGGTGTGGTGGCCTACAACTGTAGTTTCCAGCACTCAGGAGGCGGAATTAGAGGTAGGAGGATCACTTCTGGGTCATCTTCACGTACATAGCAAGTTCAAGCCCTAAATGGAGCTTGTAAGAGACCTTGTCTCAAAAAACATTCCTATTTTACATAATAAACCTTCAGTGTTTAGCAAGCAAATATGTATATATAAAAAACCTTTGTTTAAAGTTATCTGAATCTGAAAACTTGAGTATATTTGCATTATGAATTCAACTTCTTGTATTAAGTTTTGAAGGATACCACCTGTCATTGTTCTCTTGGGTATAGCCTTGTAAAGTCATTTCTGTGAGATTTAAGAATAAAAGTTCATGGCTAAATGATAACTGTCCTTAACCAGCAAAGACTAACTAGCCAGTCTTTTAATTCTTTGCATTTTGTTCAAAGTTTTGTTCTTCTCCATTGTATTGCTGCTATTAATAAATACAGTGTGCATATGGAAAGCCACTAGTGCCTACCATTGTCCTGTAATTGTCGAATTACACTTCATTATCTAAGCAAGTAACTCTTTTTTGAAGAGCTAGTAGGATAATTTACAAAGGACTAAGAAATCTGTTGCTGTCTACATTATTTGAATGTCAGAAATTATGTAATCCCAACCCTGTATCAAAACAGAACAAAGGGAGCAATTTTTAAAGGAGGATTTAACAGTTGTTGAGGGCAAATTGTTTGGCAGGTGTTTTACCTACATGGTTAACATTGTAATAACATAGTAGTTCATTCTCTGTAGTAAAATACTGAGGTTTACATTTACTTATTTATTGTACATGTGTGGGCACATGATTAGAGGTCAGAGTACAACTTGTTGGAGTCAGTGCTCTCCTTCCGTCATGTATTTTCCGAGGATTGAACTCAGGTCATCAGGTTTGGCAGCAAGTACCATTACGCACTGAGCTGTTTGACCAGCCCAATACTGAGGTTTAGAAAGTGTATGTAATTTATGTTTAATTGAATCCAGATGAATGAATTTTGTATATGAAGTCTAATAGATTCCAGTCTAACCATTTGGGACTGATGGAGAAAGCACCAGTGTATGAGCAGTTCATTCTGTTGTCGAATGGCTGTTAATTGTTAGAAAATTCTTAGGTTGAGTCAGAATCTGTTTCCCTTTTGTTTCCTTTTATTCTGTTTCCGTATCGTGGGACTAAACTCAGAATAAGATTCATCTTTCATAAGACAGCTACATTTATTTTCCATGATGAATATGATAATCACAAAATACTTTTGCCACGAATGGTGGCCCATGCCGTTAATCCCAGCACTCAGGAGGCAGAGGCAGGTGGATCTCTGAGATTGAGGCCAGCGTGGTTTACACAGTGAGTTCCAGGTCAGCTGGGGCTCTCAAAAAGACCCCCCCAAAAAGGTAGTTTTGATAGATGGGGGTTTAGCTTGGTGGCAGAGAACTTGCCTAGCATGCGAAAGATTCTGTGTTCAGCTCCCAGCACCCACATGGTAACTAACAACTACTTCTAGCTCCAACTCCAGGGGATCTGATGCCCTCTTCTGGCTTCTACAAGCATTGTACACATAGTGCACATATGTATGTGTAAGCAAAACATTCATACACATAAAATAAAAATAAGTTTAAAATAAAGATATGAGAGAGCCCTCCCTCCCCCAATACGTGCACCAATGCATTCATCCAAAGGGTGGTAAGTTGCTGGATTCATTTCCATGGAAACAGTGTTCTGTGATGTTTAGGGATCTGTACTAGGTCAGGAAAGAATGAAATACCTGAAAGCTGAGCTTTTATTTATAATAAAAAATAGAAAATGTGGCAGAAATAGCAAATAAAGCCAGGCAAAGTGATATGTGCCTGTAATCCCAGCATTTAGAAGATGAGAGAGGCAGGAGAATCTTGAGTTCAAAGTCTTCTAGGCTACATAGCAAGTTTGAGGCCCGCCTGGGCTACCTGGAACCCTGTCTCCAAGAAACTAGAGGGAAATGTGATAGCAAATAAAAATAGTTAAATTGAGCCAGAAATAGTGAGATGATGTGATGGCTTGTATACAACATTGATACTTAAAGATTAGAACATTGCTGCCAGTACACATCTACAATCCCAGTCAGCAGGACGATTACTTCAAATTTGAGGCTAACCCAGGCTCCCTAGCAATATCCTGTCTCAAAACCAAGGAGTAAAAACAAAGCAAAAGTTTCTGGATGATTCCCTTTCCTTAGCAGCCCACCTACACAAGTCTACTCCGTCCATGTGCAGGCTCGGCTTTGCTCTGCTTTAAGGCTGCGTTTCTCAGGAGTGCGGGGGTGAAGGATGCTGCAGTCCTGAAGGATAGTGGAAAGGACCTTGAATTTTCATTTTAGAGACTACCTATCTAGTTTTGAGGCTGCTTTGAAAATGTCTTGGAACAGGTAGAGAAGTGTCCTTGATTAGTTTGGCTCTTGCAGGGCCCAAGAACAAAGCTACTGAACTATTTCCCAATGTTCATGTAATAACTTACAAGCCATTTTATGGTAATAATAAATTCTGTTTATTAACACTGATTGTGCAGATATGCTGCATAGATTCCTATCATCTGAAAACCATTATTTTCCTTTTTCTTTCTCTGCCTCTTTGAACTGTAAATGGGTAGATAGAATTCTTTCATAAAAAGGTGACTGAAAAAAGTTGTACTTAAGTGATATTTGTTCCATAGAGCTACTTTTTAGGGTCACTATTGGGGAGAAAAAAAGATTGTGGAAACTTCTCCTAGGAGCTTGATTTAGGGAATCTTACATAGAAAGACAACAGTGGAATACAAATGTGTTTGTTTTTTGAGACAGGGCCTCATGGTCCAGGCCAGCCTTGAACTAGTAATGTATCCAAGGGTAACGTTGCACTTCTGACACAAACTAAAATCTAGTAAGTCCTGTAAGCAGATTCTTAATAAGGAACAAATTATTTATGAGAATATGGCTTAAGGACAGTAACAGATTTACCTTGAATTAGGGGACTACACTGAAACTGTGTGAGAAATCTCTTCAACTGTCACATGTAGGAGGATTGTGCCATCTAAACTAAACATACTGTGTTTTTTTCTCTCTCAACTTCCATCTCCATTTTCATTTTTAATTTAAGATCCATAATCGGTATGAAGGCAAAGATGTTTCAAAGCACAAGCGGAACTTGGCCATAGCAGGTGGCGTGACGCTGTCTGTGATCGTGTCTCCAGTAGTAGCAGCAGTTACTGTCGGTAAGAGCATGCTTTCAAATACTAATTACCTTACATTTTATGAAGTTTAGAAGTTTAGACAAGTTGTTTATAAATAAGCTATTGTTGTTAAAAGGGTTACTTTTAAATTTTAAGGGTGATTTAAGTTGAACCTTCAGAAGGCCTTTCACTCAAGTAACTATTCTTTAAAGTACAGTAGACTCAGAACCTACTAGTAGTCTAGGGCTGGGGCTGTAGCTCAGTGGTGGATGGAGCACTTGCCTTACACACATAAACCCCCTAGGTTCAGTCCCCCAAGAACCTAATGTTAGGATAGTTGATAAATTGTTAGTGCCTATAGTGCCTATAGACTGTCCCCTTCAATAGAGTTCAGAGGTCTGCACTTAAAAGAATCTCTTTTTTTTTCTCTCTCCTTATAATATGTCAACTGAAGTCCACCTGGGAACCCTACACTGTTTGTGTCCTGTAAGATTTGGCAAACACCCCAACCAAATCCTGAGAGCCCTATCACTTTTCTCCTGTGCCTTCTCTTGAACAGATTTTCTGCATGTTTCTATGATTTATTTTGGTTATTATAATGACTACTCTAATTCCCTTGTAGGCATTGGTGTTCCTATTATGTTAGCTTACGTCTATGGTGTTGTACCAATTTCCCTCTGCCGAAGTGGAGGTTGTGGCGTTTCAGCAGGCAATGGGAAAGGAGTCAGGATTGAATTTGATGATGAGAATGACATAAATGTTGGTGGAACTAACACAGCTATAGGTAAGCCCTTTAACCAAAAGAGGAAAATGTGCTTATTCATAGTGTTAAGTTAGGGAGGGGACATGAATAATGTGCAAGTTGGGATTTCTAGGCCTTTCTAGGCCTCATGGTTTCCCATCCACAAGTGTAGCCGTGGAGGAACTACCAAAGGAAGGCATGTGTGTGAAAGAGGATGGAATAACTCTGGGTGGTTTTTTTGGTCTTTTTGAGACAGGGTCTCCCTGTAGCCCCAACTGTCCTGGAACTCACTGTGTAGACCTGGCCTTGAACTCCCAGAGATCCGCCTGCCTCTGCCTCCCGAGTGCTGGGATTAAAGGCATGCATCACCATGCCTGGCTTGGGTGTTTAACTCTTAAGAATAATTGTAAATTCATCATCTAATATTTTGCTTAATACATTTTGAAATAAGATATAAAGATAAATGCAGTTAAAATAATTATAGATGGTCAGCAAGTCAAAAACATCCTCAGTATTAGTCAAAGAAATAAAAATTAGAACTGTAGTGGGCAGAAATTGTGAAGAATAAAAGGCTTAACAGACTTGTTTTGATGTGTTTGTCTTAAGGAAAAAAGTCAGGCGAGTATGTTGAAAATAAGGTCCATTTATAACTCTGATGCTCCTGTGCCCACTGCTTCAGAATTTCACCTCTACAAGTATTCCAGCCAGATTCTCAGAACTTTGCTCCTGTGTACCATCTCCTCAAAAGATTTTTCTAACCATAGGGTGTGGGGGCGGGTGTTCCCAAAGTCCTTGTCATTTCATTATCCATAAATCCCCACATTCTGACCTGTCTGAACATACCTCTTCTCACCTTCCCTTTTTATACTTTATATTTTTCTGCTCTTCTTGAGGATGCCAGTTACATTCCTATTTTAAACTTGCAGTTCCCTCTGTCTGCAGTAGCCTTCTTCCACATTTTGTGACTCACTTGTTCACTGCCTTTGAATTTCTTACAAGTGTGGCCTTATCAGAGTCCTTCCCTGGGCAAGTTACACAAGATGGTATACAGGGATTACATACGTGCACTCTCATCACTCTTCAGTTTCCTTTACCTCCACTCTTACTATTTTTTTTCTCCAGCTTTTATTACATTATGATTGGGTATGTGATAGGAACTCAAATACTGGCATAAATAAGTGAATTCCTCAGTACAAAGCATGTGAAAAGTACTTAACGTTAAAATATACTCACCATATCTTGTAATAGTTTGAAGACAATTAGAACTCCGAACTATATCTACATCAACTTTTGGCTCAATCTTACTGACATAGAGAATAAAAACCTCTTAGTTTATTTTACTTATTTTTGTGGGATGTGGGTGTGTTCATGTGTATTTAGGTACATATTGGGTACACATGCATGTAAAGGCCAGAGCTTAACCTGGGGTGTTGTTACTCAGGAGCTGCCTGTCTTCTTTTAAATTGAGACAGGCTCTCTCACTGGGACTTGGTGCTGACTAGGCAGCCCCAAGGGCCTGCCTGTTTCCACCTCTTTGGTGGAATTACAAGCATACATCATATGCCTGGTTTTTGTTTGTTTGTTTGTTTTTTATGTGGGTACTAGAAATCAAACTCAGGTCTTCATATTTGCACAGCAAGCACTTTACTGACTGAGCCATCTCCTCACTGCTGAGAATAATAACTTGTTCCTGTTACACCCTTACTGAAAATAGTCACATAATTTTCCTCTAAAATCAGGTACATTTTTAAATGTTTGTGTAAGGTTCCTAAATCTTCTGGATTTTTGAGAAGAGACCGTTTTAAATTCAGGGTTGTTCTCAGATCCAGCTGCACTCTCTGAGATAGTTGTCTTTACTCTTAACCCATGTTAAATGTCCTTGACACTAGGCATCTTTCTATTCTTGTGCGTGGTTTGTACTTTGTGTAGTGTGATCGCCTGTCTGAAATCATGGAGGAGTTTAAGGGAGGGAAATAGCTAAGCATACTTACTTAATTTCTTTCAATTATTTGCATTTAGACACAACGTCAGTAGCAGAAGCAAGGCACAACCCTAGCATAGGAGAGGGAAGTGTTGGCGGTCTGACTGGCAGTTTGAGTGCAAGTGGAAGCCACATGGATCGAATAGGTGCCATTAGAGACAACCTGAGTGAAACTGCCAGCACCATGGCGCTAGCTGGAGCCAGTATAACGGGGAGTCTGTCGGGAAGTGCCATGGTAAATTGTTTCAACAGGTAAGAAATAGCCATGTGTTTTGTTAAGTACAGGACATTGATTAGATGAAGAATTAGAACATAAAACATGATGATTATCCTAAGATTAAAAAGTAAAATTAGTAGTGTACAATAAGACTTTTACTGTATTTGACACTCTTGTGGTAAAAACTGTGAGCAATCACATTCTGCCAGTTTTTATTGCACTTGATAGAGCTAATCTGATAAATGAATGCTGGAGCTGCTTTGATGTCCATGAAGTAAAGGCCATGCTTAGCCTAGACCTTCCCTCTGGAGGGTGACAGCTAAATACTAGGAGCTGAGACTTCATCCTGAATGTAAGAACCAGGGTCAGAATAGTCTGCCTGGATCCAAAGGTGTTTATGATCCTTTCTCACCTTGTCTTTCCAATAGCCCTAGAGAGAAGTGGGAAAAACTAACGTGTTTTAAATCTTGCCTTGCTTTTTTTGTTTTTGTTTTTTCTGAGTCACTATTCTTTAGTACTGCTTACTAGCCTTATTTATTTCAGTTTAGGTAGTTTGCGTTGAACAAAAAAGATATTTTAAGTTGTAGTGGTATGTATTATCTCTTATTTTGAAAATCAGGTGTGGACTGAGGATATAACTTAGTAGTAGAGCCTCTCCCTCACATGCAGGGCAAGGCCCTGAGTTTGATGATCTCCAGCATTTTTTTTTTAAGTAAAAAGATGTTTATTATAACCATTTTTTTTTCTTTTTCTTATCTATTTACCTTTGATCTCCAGCATTTTTTTTTTAAGTAAAAAGATGTTTATTATAACCATTTTTTTTTCTTTTTCTTATCTGTATTTACCTTTTGAAGAATGTGACTTGAGCACTCCACTTCCATTATTCACAAGCCTGGATGAATTACAAGACCTAGGGAAGCTTGGGGTTTTGTTCTCACACTATGGAAAACAAGCCACATGGGGGATATCTCCCATCAATTATAACCATTTTTAACCATTTTTTTGATTTATTGATATGTTTAATGGCTAATATATTCTGACTTTGTATTTTGTACTGAAACATGACAAAGGACTGAATCTTGTGAAAATAATGGAGCAGATTTAAGTCAAAAATCTGTTTTTTCCTTTTGGTAATGTTCTCTTGCTGCCTTACTTGGCAGACAGCTAGTTATTTTTTTCATTCCTCTTGGATGACTATCACTGTTCAGTGCTGCAGTAGAAGTGGAAACTGGAAAATATGTCTAAAATCAATTTTCATTGCTTAAGTTTTTAACCAAATCCCGAAAGATATGTATTATGGTTGCTGTATTATAAATAATTGGGATTTTATCTGATACCCTCCTCCTTAAGGTTGGAAGTGCAAGCAGATGTACAGAAAGAACGGTACAGTCTAAGTGGAGAATCTGGCACAGTCAGCTTGGGAACAGTTAGCGATAATGCCAGCACCAAAGCAATGGCAGGCTCCATTCTGAATTCCTACATGCCACTGGACAAGTAAGGAAAGCACTTGTAAATTAATTTAAAAGGCCGTATCCCTACCCTTGGGTGCACTTACTGTTGAACAGTGGTGACCAGCAATTCCAGTCTATAAGAAAATAAAATGATGAAATAGTCAAAGAACGCAAGCGTATACAGATAGAAAGTAGATTTGTGATGGCTAGGTGCTCAGGGAAAGGAAGAATATGGGCCAACTGCTGCCAGTCGGGTCAGGATTTTTTTTGTGGGGGGCGGGTAGATAGTGAAAATGTTCTTAAGTTAGACTATGGTGATGATTACACAACTGCAGGTACCGCACTACAGAATTGTGTGCAGGTGAATTTGGTGGTGTATAAATTATACCTCAGTAAAGCTTTAAGCTTATAGAAAGGGGAGGAGATAGCATAGTGCCTACAACGACATAAACAATAACTATACTACTTTTAGAAATCAAATTTCCTGGGCTGGAGAGATGGCTCAGCAATTAAGAACACTGGATTGTTCTTGCAGAAGACCTGGGTTCAAATCCAAGCACTCACATGGCAGCTAACAACTGTCCAAAACTCCAGTTCCAGGGGATCCTACAGCCTCTTCTGTCTTGTTCAGGTGCACTTACTTACCTACATGCAGGCATAACACTCATGCACATAAAATAGTAAAATATTGAAAAAAAAAGAAAAAAAATCAAATTTGCTGTTCATGGTGATGTGTACTTTTAATCCCAGCACTTGGGAGGCAAAGGCAGGCAGATGTCTGTGAGATCAAGGCCAACCTGATCTACATAGACCCTGTATTTTAAAAAAATTTTTTTTGTTATTTTTATGTGTATGAATATATTGCCTGGATGTATATAAGTGCACCTGTGTGGTACAGTGCCCTTGAAGGTCAGAAGAGGACATCGGATCCCCTAGACCTGGAGTTACGGATGGTTGTGAGCCACCACATGGTTGCTGGGAATCAAACCCAGGTCCTCTGTGAAAGCAGTCAGTACTCTTAACCACTGAACCATCTCTCCAGCCCCACCCTGTCTTAATAAAAAGGAAAGACAGTCTTCTTACTTCAAGTATTTTTATGTTAGTAGACTGTCCTGCATTTTAAAATGTTCCAACAGCTTCTGTGTATAGACTTTGGGGTTTTCATACAGATCCCTTTCCCTTTGCTATTAGCTGAATAAAAATTGTTAAAAGCAAAAAATGGCTTATATTTGTTGTTTCACATTCCAGAGAAGGAAATAGTATGGAAGTGCAAGTGGATATTGAGTCAAAGCCATCCAAATTCAGGCACAACAGTGGAAGCAGCAGTGTGGACGATGGCAGTGCCACCCGCAGCCATGCTGGTGGTTCAGCCAGCGGCTTGCCTGAAGGTAAATCCAGTGCCACCAAGTGGTCCAGAGAAGCAACTGCAGGAAAAAAATCAAAAGGTGGTAAATTGAGAAAAAAGGGTAACATGAAGATAAATGAGACCAGGGAGGACATGGATGCACAGTTGTTAGAACAGCAAAGCACGAACTCAAGTGAATTTGAGGCTCCATCCCTCAGTGACAGTATGCCATCTGTAGCAGATTCCCACTCTAGTCACTTTTCTGAGTTCAGCTGTTCTGACTTGGAAAGCATGAAAACGTCTTGTAGTCATGGGTCCAGTGATTATCACGCCCGCTTTGCTACTGTGAACATCCTTCCTGAGGTAGAGAATGACCGTCTGGAAAATTCACCACATCAGTGTAGCATTTCTCTGCTTTCCAAAACTGCTTCATGTTCAGAAGTTCCACAACCGAGTCACAGTGCTGAAGACCATGGCAACAGTGGAGTGAAACCCAGTGTGGATCTGTACTTTGGTGATGGACTGAAAGAAACAAATAACAACCACTCACATCAGATGATGGACTTAAAAGTTGCAATTCAGACTGAAATTTAGGCCCATACGTGCTGCAAAGTAATAACCACTGAAACCTTGTTTGGAGCTGGTTCAACTATATGTGACTCTTTAGTTTCAAGTTACCAGCAAAAGCCAGGTTTCATAATCATAATGCAGATGCATTTTATGTGTTCAGAAAAGCATTGTGTTTCATGCGGATGTTAATTACCAAACTATGAAATGAAGGCTTTAAAAGTGCATTATTGTAAGAATAATAAACCTTATGAACAAGGCATGTTTTGTGTGCTTGTCACAAAACATTACCTGTGATTACCTGAGGCACATACCTGTGTATTTAGATAGAAATTTGGCTTAATTTATAATCACAAAATACTAATGCTCTTCTACAGCATTCTTAATGAAGAATTGAGGCCTGGGGATAAGTGGTTAGTGACATTTTATTGAAACCACTAAGGGGTAGTGTTGAGAAGAACTTGGCAGTTTGCTCAGTATATGATCCTCTGTAACGTTTCTCTTCATAACGGGCTTCAGTTTCATTTCTTTTTTCATACGCAGTGTGGATATATAAAGCTAATGCAGCCCATTGGTAACCATTTGGATACTTGGACACATGAGCAAGATTGTGGCAGTTTTTGCACAACTTTAAAATAGAAATACTTGGTACTCTATATATCTCATGTGTTGTTGATGCCATTTTAGAAGAAAAATGTACAAGTAGGTAACTAAGTAGACTGACAGCAACAGACAACACACACAACCGCAAAATAAAATCCCACTAGGTTATAAGTATTTTTTTTTTAAAGTCACCTTTTATTAAGGGGACATTTGTACGCGTTGGATTCTTGGTGCCTTTGGGATAGACTGGGTTTTGTGGGCCTAGTCACTCAAGGTTTCTACTGTACCATTTTCCATAATGTCTTCTCTAGTCACCTTGAATTCTATAGAAAATACAGGAAATAGATAAACATGATTGTGATTAGTAACAATGTTGAAAAAGTATTCGCCTACCAAAGACACACTCAGGCTTTAGTAAATTTAACTTTACATAACCTCAATTTTTAGCGTGTGTATCTTTTGAATTATAGAATTAAAGCAGTGCAGAGCTTGTACCAAGCTTATCCAAAAGGTCTACGTATGGTTGGCTTTATTTCCTTTTGCTTTTGTTTATGGAAGATGCTCAGCTGACATAAGCAGAAGTTGGCCAAAATACTGCCTGTGCTATTCACTTCCCATGTGATGTCTCTTAAAGCAGGTTAACCTCAATGATAGCAGTTAAAATACTCCACCTTATGTGTTTCTTTTAAGTATTACCATTATGGTGCTACTGAGCATTTTCTTTTGATCAAAAAGGAAAATGTCCTGGGCTGCAGTTTTCTTCCATCAGTTTCTTCACCAAGTCCATAATGTGCTTATAACACTAGTGCCAGTTATTTTGTTTGATATTGCTTATTATGGTATTTGTATATTTGTTTGCATTCCAGTTTTGTTCAATAATGAGTGTATAAACTACATACATGAAATAAATGTAAATACTACCATATTTGGTGTGTGCACAGAAGTTTTTATGACAGGAATATTCATTTGCTGCATTGCTTTCTGATCACAGCCCAAAAGAAAGCAACCTGTTGAACTTTTCAGCCAACAACAGTAGAAATCGCCTTTGTTCTTCATATCTAATTCCGGCCTTTATCCCAGAAGAAAGATGCTTTATTCCTCAACATAATTTCACTTTATTTTATGTATGTGAATTTGAGGCTGAGGGTGTGGCTCCGTTGTAGAACACTGGTCTAGCATGCTTGAGGCCATGGATTCAGTCTTCAGCACTGCCCTTCCCTTACCTCCCTCCCCCAAAATGATGTGTTGAATTCACCCTGAGTAAATAGGAATATCATTAAGTGTGAAATAGACTGGCATTGTAAATTCCCATTTAGGAAATGAACCCAAAACTATTTGAATTCAAGCTAACAGTAATCAAGTGTTTTATATTCTTATAACCTAAATTTCTGAGAATATATTGATATTTCTGTAAAAGGCAAAATAGTAATGAATTGGAAGTCTAGACATCTTTAAAGGAAAACAGCAGAAGTGGTGCTGCTGTACAGGATGCATTCAATTGACCTCATCCTTCCTGTTTTACCACTCTTCAGTAGTTACTTGTCTTGTTGCTGCAACAAACTACCCTGAAAAAAACAAGGAAAGATTCAGTTTGGCTCACAGTTCCAAGATAGAGTCCATCATGGTGGGAAAGTCATGGTGGCGAGAGCTTGAGGCATTGGTCACATTGCCTGCACACTCAACAGGCAGTGCTGAGTGCTGCCACTTAATTGGCATTCTCCTTTTTATTCAGTTCAGGACCCCAGCCCCTGGCATGCTACAACCCACAGTTAGGGTGGGTCTTCCCACCTCGGTTACCCTAGTCAGCATATCCCTCATAATCTGGACAAGCCTGTCCAGAGACTTATCTCCTAGGAGACCCTAGATCCTGTCAAGTTGACAGTAAACCATCATCTTCAATCTCACCTTGACAAAGATCTAGACCTTAGAGCTGGCTTCAAAAACTCCATTGTCTCTGGATGCTTCAAACTTAGATTAATTGATTTAGGACAGTCAGTTTAAGGACCAAGTCAGATTCCTCCAGCACTCAGCTCAAAACAAGCCTTAACTCATTGAAATGTTTTTAAGACCCTACCGACTTGGTTTTCTTTGAGTCCTACAGCAAAAATCACATGAAAGTACAAAGATAATTATTACTGCTGATTCTGTCAACTACCAGTTTAGCTGAATTTTCTTCAGTGTTCAAATTTCCAGCTTTACTATTTATATTAAGTTTGCAGAGTTAGTCTTATTTGTGCTAGATATTGAGTTATAAAGATCTAAAACTTTCCCCAGTATATTACCTAGTGAATTACAGACTTGGATCACTAAAGGAGAAAATATGTTGAAAGCTGTCATCTGTTAATTCCCACATGATATGAGAAAAACAAGAAATTCTGTTGCATGGATTATTTTACTTTGCCATTCAGTCATCAGTTCTAAGACTGCGTTTTAATGCTGATCCTTTTACACATTTCCCTTTTAAGTGGAAGATAACATTGCCAAAAATTAATGCTTACACAGTGGTTGGTTTTGAACGTCAAAATAGATTTACATTATATTCATTACTGTTGATTAACATGATTAGTGAACTTGTAGGGCTTTTTATTAGATATTTTTATTCTTTGAGAATTTCATGTATGGTATTTTGATCATATTCACCCCCAAGTCCTCCCCCAGATCTGGCCCTATTTTGATATCCCCAACTACATATCCTTTCTTTTTTTTTCTTTTTAATTTAACTCATCAACTCCAATTTGTACTACCCACATAGTCCTAGGTGTGGGGTCATCTCCTGGAACCTGGTCCACCTACCAGGGGCTGCACTTTTAAAGAAAACTGACAACTCTCCCTCAGAAGTCATCAACTGTCCATAGGACAGCAACACAAAGAAGCACAAAGTTAGAAGGGACCTGTAGATATGACCTGGGAGACAGGCATTTCAGAACTGATCTCCAAGGTCAGTCAGTGGCCACTTAGACATCGATCTTGGAATTTGAGATCTCACACTTAGTTGACCACCTTGGTTTTCTTGGGATGTTTTTACTTTCTTGGCATTTCACATTTTCATAAACTGCTTAGAGTAATCTTGTCAAGTTCTGACAATTTTTCACCAGGTAATATTTAATTATCTCTAAAAACTTGATATCTTTTTAAGTTTTGTGTCCTGTACTTGTAGTGTTGTAGTGTTATCTTTTAAAAATGTCATTTCCTGTTTGTTACTAATAGTAGAAAAAATTAGCTGATTTTTGTGTCATTTTGTTTTTAACATTTCCTATTGAATTTTTGTGATTTTCATACAATATAATTTGATGTTATTTAGAGCCCCTCCCCTGTAATTTCCAGCTTTTAAAAGGGGGCTCCGTGCTGTTCTGGGCTCTGTTGTATTGATGGCTACCTTGCCCTTCCACTCGCTGTAGGTTTAGTTTGCTTGTCCTTCTCCCAGTGTCTTTGCCGATTTGAAATCTTTCCTTCTTTAACTGTAGGCACTTACAGGTGCGAGTCCCGCTCCACACAGCCTTAGTCCCCTATTGTTCCCCTGCCCAATTTACTGTACTCTATTTATATATATATAGTACATATATGTACTTATATATATGGCCTCATATATATGTACTCATATATTTATATATATATATATATAAAGTACATATATGTATGTACTCATATATATGGCTTATAGAGTCAATTCTACCATTCTTATTCCCATTTTACAGATTAGAAACAGAAACTTAAGTACTTTGCTTAGAGTTGCAGAGCAGGACCAAGGTTCCTCTTAGTTGATTACACTGTTGCTTTTTCTGGCCCATTTGCACTGACTAACTTCTAGGGTATAGGACTGAATGGTGACTGTGGAGACATTTGATTATATACCAAGGGAAACATTTCAATATTTCAACAACTGATTCTGTAGATTCTTTTATAGGCACTTTTAAACCAAATTTAGTAAATTCTCAACTCTGCTCTTAGCTTGGAAAAGCTCTTGAATTTTGTTAACTTCTTAGGGAGGGGAGTCTACTAATGTACTAATTGAAATTTGATTTTTCAAATGTTAGTCCAGGAACCTGGGATAAATTTCAGTATTAAGATGTGTCAAACTTGGGGACTGGAGAGATGGCACAGTGGCTAAGAGCATTGGCTGCTCTTGCAGAGGGACCTGGGTTCAGTTCCCAGCACCCACATGGTGGTTAACAACCATTCATAACTCCAGTTCCAGGGGGAATCTGATACCCTCTTCTGGCTCTGGGCATTGCATGCACAGGTGCACTAGGCAAAACACTCATACATATGAAATAAAAATAAATTTAAAAAGATGTATCAAGCTGGAATTAAATCTTCCTTAAATGTTTAGCTGGAATTGCTGCTGAGGCTGGCAAGGCTTGTATTTGTTCATTTCCCTGCTTGATTGCTAGTTTGTTTGTTGAACCATGGGGAGCCACATTTTCAGGATTGGCATGCAGCCTGTGTTTATCAGTATGAGCCATAAGAAATGGCAAGCCCTTTCCTGTGTGAGAACTGACTAATTATAGAATAATGGACTGGTGACAATGGCAAAATACATGCTTTTTTTTCCCCCCATTAGCCCTTTTCCTAAACAGCATCGGTGCATCTGTTTCTGCTACCTTTTGTCCTTTGTGGAAGTAAAATTTAGCTGTTATGCCACACCATGTGTACTGGGCACATCCAAATTCTGAATTCAAGATATGAGGAAAACAGAAATCTTGAGCTAGGACCTTGAGGGCAAGGGCTTTGTCCTTCCTTTTGTTCTTTCCTTAACAGTATTCACCTTATACTTGAAACAGTGAGTAACTGTGCAGAGGAATGAGAGTTTATGACTTAGCCTAGAGTTGGTGGCCCACTGATCATTTCATAATACTGTGCAGTAAAACAAGTTGCTTGAAACAGTATAGTGACTGAAAAGGCACTCACTTGAAAAAACATTGTGTGTCCATATGACGCAAATGTAGAGGTAGTGTTCTCTCCACTATGTGGACCCCGGAGCTTATTGGACTTGGTGACAGGCTACGGAGCCATCTCACTGGCCCAAAAGGCACTTACTTTTTAACATTAAATTCTAGAACGACCTCTACTGGAACATAATTTGGGGAGGTTAGTACAGCTAAGGATTTAACTTTGTTTTTTGGGGGGGGAGGGTTTTTAATGTTGCTTATTTAAAGATCATGTAATACTTTCCCCTTGGCGCATATATATAAATAAATGGTTATTTTACAGATAGCATGTGAACTGATGTTTTAAGGCTATTACTCTTGATAGTTCAAGTATGCACTAAAGGGTCAGGTGTGGTGGCACAAACCTTTAATCCCAGCACATGCTTTTAATCCCAGGAAGCAGAGACTGGTGGATCTCTTGAGTTCCAGGCCTGCCTGGTCTACATAGAGAGTTCCAGGCCAGCCAGTTTATATAGTGAGACCCTGTCACCAAAAAAAAAAAAAAAGCACAAAAGAATGTGTTTCCCCATCCCCTTTCCTCTTTTTCCTCCCCTCTTTACTTTGCTCACCTTTCTCTTCTGTGTCCATGCTCCCACATTACTTTCAGCCATAACCAATGCAAATCACCAAATGTAAATGATGCCATACCTTTCTCATGCAAATGTATTACATTAGTTGTTTTCTTTATTTTTTTCAATAATGTCTTAAGAAAATATGTCCAAGTCAACTGTTCCTCCTTCCCTCCCTTTCTAATTTTCTTTCTAATGGCTGCACTAAAGTCCTTTGGACTAGGTGTGCAGGAATTATTCATAGATTTTCATATTGATGAGCATTTACTTTGTATCTGCTTTTTGTTATTTTTTTCTCACTACAGAACATTGCTAGAAATAATTTTCTGGACGTTTTAATTATGGATGATGGACCCATGAGCACTAAATGGATGTAAACTTTGTCATCTTTGCAGGAATTTTTGCCTCATTCTATTTTCCTGACT